CCCCCCCCCCCCCCCTTGTACAGGGTTTCTCTATATAACAGTCCTGGAACTCAGTCTGTAGACTAGACTGGTCTCACACACATATCTACCTGCCTCTGCCTCTTCAGGGCTGGAATTAAAGATAATTCTTATTTTACAGTTCTCTTTTAAAGAAGGGTGTAAAAGAAGCTGTTAGGGCCAAGGCTGTGGCTCTGTGGTGAAGCATTGCCTTGTTCATACTCTTTGTTTCCTTAGTACAAAAACCAACTGATGGAATTCCTAAAGCAGGTGTTATCTTCACAGAACCAGGTTGTTGTGGGGTGACTTTCAGGTTCTGCTCTTGTTTAACTCCAGCATGACTTCCCATTTGAAATTTAAGGGATTAGGTACAGAGAATGTGAGGATAGTTAATTTAACTTCAGTAGTATACAATATTACTAAATGTCTATGGTTCTTTCAGGCAGCCCTTGACATTCGACAGTCAGTGTTTGGAGGCAAAAATATTCATGTAGCAACAGCTCATGAAGATTTGGCTTACTCTTCCTACGTTCACCAGTACAGCTCTGGGAAGTTTGACAATGCCCTGTAAGTTCCCCCTTTTCAGACAAGGATAATACTCTTCCCCTGTAGTGTACTAGTCCGTAAGTATTGTGTGGATAAATTTGTCTTCCTGTGGTAAAATGTGTGAAGTCATTTAAAAATCATTTCAATTGTTAAGGCATCCATTTAGGCTTCCTTTGGTTTCAAATTAAAATTTATTTCTGTACAGAATGAGCTCTTTTCAGTATTTCCTTCAGTGATTTTTTCTTTGAGTAATTAATAGTCTTGGCTTGGTGACAAATTTAACAACCTCCAAACTTGTTTCTGAAAACAGAAAAACTGGGTAAACTATAGCTCTTCTTTTAAATGTATATCTAAGCCTGCAAGAGTGAGGAAAATTCCCAGCAACAAAGAATGGTCTCTAAAATCCTCAGCCATGAACTATGACCTACATGGAAAACTATTTTCATGGGTCATAGGCATGCCCATTTGTTCATCTGTTTCCTATGAATATTTCATGATATTAGATTTAAGTAGTTGCAAAAGAACTTGTTACCAGCCGGGCAGTTGTGGCGCACACCTTTAATCCCAGCACTCAGGAGGCAGAGGCAGGCAGATCTCTGTGAGTTCAAGGCCAGTCTGGTCTACAGAGCAAGTTTCAGAACAGGCTACAAAAGCTACAGAGAAACCCTGTCTCGAAACCCCCCCCCCCCTTTTTGGGGCTACCATAACGAATTTTCTGTGTAAACTCCTTACAAAGAAAGTTCTCTGGATCTGATATAGAAGAGGAAACCAATAATATTTTGGAGAAACAATGAAGGCAAAAAGAAGGCCAGGTAGGACATACCCAGCACTATGCTGGGTCTAGAAGATGAATAATTCAAGGCACTTGCTGGCAAGTGTAACAAGCTGAGTTCATCCCTGAGACCCCTGAGGTGGAAGAAGAAAATTGACTCTTGATCACTTTCCTCCAAAATTTTTTTAGGGCAACTCTGGGCTATCCAATGAATTCCAGGCCAACCAGCATTACACAGCAATGTTGTGTTTCTTCAGAAAACAAACAAACAAAAAAGCCCCAGAGACTTTTTCTTTTTGGCTTTTCAAGGCATAGTTTCTCTGTACAACCCTGGCCATCATGGAACTCACTCTGTAGACCATGCTGGCCTCAAAATCATACAGAGATCTGCCTGCCCCTGCCTCCCAAGTGCTAGGATTAAAGGTATGCGCCACCACTGCCCAGCACCACCTGCTTCCTCTTGAAGGCTGGGAATTTTAAACAAAATTCATCCCCCAGCATGGTTGAGCCTTGTAAACATACTAACTTAAAGAAGCTAGTCACAAAGGATCACAGTTTGTGTGGCTTTGTTTATATATGGCTAGATAGGCAACCAGAGATAGAAAGTGAATGGTTCTTAGACCTGGGGTGTTGGAGGAATGTGGGGATTGCTAGATGTATGTAGGAATTGTTTTAAGGTGATAAAAAAAATCTTAAAATTGGTTGCAGTGGTGGATGTACTCTGAATATACTAAAAAACATGGTGGCACACTTATCACTCAGGTGAGACAGAATTGCCAGGAGTTTGAGGCCAGCATGGGCCACCAAATGAAACCATGTCTCAAAGAAATCAACAGAGCTAAGGAAAAGGCACCTGTATAGTCACTGATATCAAAACTATGTGGAGAAATCAAACAGCATGTTAGTTTAAAACTAAAGAGAACTAGTGAATTTGAAGATAGACAGAGATAAGAATTTTGAGTGGGGAACTAAAGAGATGGCTCAGTGGTTAAGAATGAATACTGTTCTTTCAGAGGACCTGAGTTTGGTTTGCAGTGCTCATGTCTGGTGTCTTAGAACAACCTGTAATTCCAGCACAAGGGAAATGTAACACCTCACCTCTGGGCTTCTCACATGCACATACCCACACTCAGATACATAATTTAAAGTGATAAAAATAAACCTTTTTTTAAAAAAAAGTTTGATTTTTTTTAAGGGAATAGCAGGTATAATAGGCAAGTAGTTTGTCTTGTGTTTAGTGGGCTGGGCTGTGAACAGACAACCAGATGTTACCGTGGACAGGTAACAGGGAAAAATCAGGGAAGTGAATTTTTTTTTTTTCCAAGGGACTTTATATACTCTGTTTGGTGAAAGTAAGCCATGCGTGCATGGAAGGAAAACACTGCCGGGGTGAGAGCATGGTTTTCTCCAGAAATTGCTAGGTGTATGTGACTGGAGGCTAAGAGGGTTGGTGTAGGAATGGCAGGAAATGACGTCAGAGAAGAGTCAGTCTTGTAATGATAATTAGGACTTTTATTTTGAGAGAGATGAGAATACAATGGATGTTAAAAGTTTAATTCACAATAGACTGAAAATTTAGGGCTGGGCATGAAACTCAGAGTGCTTGCCTAGCATGTAAAGAGATCCTGGATTTGACTCCCAGTTCATCAAAACAGGAAACTCTGATCCTTAAAACCTCAATTTTTAAAGAGTTATGTGTATGTATCAGAAAGAGTGTGTGTGTGTGCGCGCATGTGTACACACACACACACACACACACACACACACACACAACATATGAATACAGATGCCCATTCAGATCCTCTGAAGCTGGAGTTAACAAGAGTTTGTGAGCCACCTGATGTGAGTACTTGAACCTGAACATGGGTCCTGTGAAAGAACAGTCAGTGCTCTTAACTGCTGAGCCATCTCCCCAGCCCCAGAACTCTATTCTTTGTAGTTTTCCTAGTATTTTCTGTCAGTATTGTAATACATGTTGTTACGGTTTTTAAATCATTTCTAACTAAAAAGAAACACTAGACTCTATCTATATCTATTGCAGATTTCATGCAGAAAGAGCCATTGGTATCATTACCCACATCCTACCTGAAGATCATCTTCTTTTGGCCTCTTCAAAGAGGGTGAAAGGTACCCTTTGTAATCTAGCATGAGACTCTTAATCTCAGGGTTGTGGGTTCAGGACCCACGTTGGGCGCCAATTTGTAGTAGGAGCACGAGGCAGGCGCCTAGCTAGCTTACATCTGAAATAATTACACAGAAACTGTATTCATTTAAACACTGCCTTGTCCATTAGTTCTAGCCTCTTACTGGCTAACTCTCACATCTTGATTTAACCCATTACTATTAAATCTGTATGTCACCACAAGCTCGTGGCTTACTGGGATTCAGCATGTCTGACCTGGCAGCTTTATGGCAGGTAGCTCTCTGCTTGCCTCCTTCCTCCCAGCATCCAGTTCTCTTTTTCCCGCCTATTTAAATTTTGCCCTATCAAAAGGCCAAGGCAGTTTTCTTTATTCAACCAATGAAAGCAAAACATAGAAAGAAGACCTACACCATTCTCAGATGGTTGTAAATTGATAAATGGCATAAAGTTAGACTTAAATTGTGTGGATATATGACTAAAATAGTTCCTCAACTCCTGTGCTTCATCTATTTGATATAATAACATTGTTGCTTGTTTATTTTACTTCTCCCTCCACCCCTTTCCTTTGAGTAAGATGCAGGAGTCATGCAGACGAGTCCACAGTAACATAGTTCAGGCTAGCTTGCAGTGTGCTGTATTCCTTTACCCCAACTTTTAAGTAAGAAGAAAAAATCAGTTACACAAAGCCTCACTAATACTGAGTCTCCATTGTGTTGGTTATTTAATTCCTTTATTCAAGTGAGATAGTAAAGGATGGGTGAGGTGGCTAAGGGAATGAGTGGGCAGGAGAGAACTGACTGCCATCAGATTGTTCTCTCACCTCCGCTGGAAGGTGTGGAGCAAACCCACCCACAGAGTAAATAAATATTGGAGAAAGTAACTTCTATCTTTATGTTTTCTCCTGCTGTACCCTGAGCATGTTTCCATCTCAGAACACATAGGCGTGCACTTTCTTCTTTTCCTTACGGTGACTGTCTTTTCACTGCCTCTGTACCCAACAATGCCGGCATGTAAAATGAGCGGGCAGTGTCTGTGTTCTTGGTTTTATATGAATTTGGAAACCTTGGGTGGAACTTCGAAATTGAAATGTCTTTTGACCCAGTTGAGTTGTTGTTTGGTTAAAGGTTATGTTTCCTAAAGGTTGCTTTCAGAATTGTCAGAAGTGCTTAAACTAGCAGTACTCGGTAGTTGTGCAATTTATCTTTCACTTCTCCTAGCATTCATTTTTCTTTTCTTCTTCTTCTTCTTCTTCTTTTTTTTTTTTTTTTTTTTTTTTTTGAGGCAAGGTCTCATGTTTTCCAGGCTGCCCCTTAAACTTGTCTTACAGCCAGGGCTAGCCTTAAACTCCCAGTCCTACTGCCGCAGCCTCCCAGTTGCTCACATAGGCACCCACAACCATTCCCAGGGGGCATTTATAAAATGTAGCAGGCAATTGCAATAGAAGCTGATTCTAAAAAATAATTTAAGGAGCACCATTTCCCGCTCATTTGAACAATATACTGTGTAAATAGAATTGACTTTCCCAAGTGTACTGTTGAAGTAATTTGGCTTAGCACAGTGGCACACGCTTGGAATCCCAGCATAGAAAGTTGAAGCAGGAGGATTGCCATAAATTCAAATCCAGCTTGGGCTATATATCGAGAGCCCAGCTCAGAAGGGAAAAAAAAAAAAACCTTAAATGTAGAACACTCTGATCCTGGCCAGTTCTGAATCCCAGTCAGTTACGTATTCAATACTTAGTAAATACTACAGTCTAGTTTTCAGTTGAATGTTGGCCCTTTAGAAAACGGATTTTGAGTTTCCTAATTTATCACTTTCTCTGTTCAGCACTTATCTTAGAGGAGATTGCAATTGACTGTCATAACAAGGAGACGGAACAGAGGCTGCTTCAGGAAGCACACGACTTGCACTTGTCTTCACTGCAGCTAGCTAAGAAAGCTTTCGGAGAATTTAACGTACAGACTGCAAAACACTATGGTAACCTCGGAAGACTTTACCAGTCAATGAGAAAATTTAAGGTAAAGGGGGTCCTATATTCTTTTATCTCTAAGTAATTAGTAAATATAAACTAATAACTATAGCAGGGTGGTGGTGGCGCACACCTTAATCTCAGAATTTAGGAGGCAGAAGTTGGTGGATCTCTGAGTTGAAGGCCAGTCTGGTCTACAAAGCGAGTTCCAGGACAGCCAGGGCTACACAGAGAAACCCTGTTATGGAAAAAAAACATACATACACACACACACACACACACACACACACATATATGAAATAAATCTTCAGTAACCTTAAATAGTAAAGTATACATTTGTATTAATTTTACCTAACTCCACAAAGGAACTGAGGAGATAGCTAGTATAAAAATCCTATAGTCAAATTAAAAATGAAATTACATATTCAAGACCATGAAAGAAAAGCAAGATTTCAGATCCAAAAAGCTGGTATTGTTGTAGTTAGGCTTCAGTCATAGTTCTTAGTATAATGACATTAGAGTTATTATATGGTTACTAAGAATTAGGAGCTACACAGCACTCGGGAGGCAGAGGCAGGCAGATCTCTGTGAGTTCGAGACCAGCCTGGTCTACAGAGCTAGTTCCAGGACAGGCTCCAAAGCCACAGAGAAACCCTGTCTCGAAAAATCAAAAAAAAAAAAAAAAAGAGGAGCTACAAAGTCTAGCAACACACAATAATTTTCTCTTAGAATTTTTGGTTCTAGTCAGTCCTAGCGGTACATTCCTTCCATCCTTCCAACTGTAACACTTGGAAGACTAAGCACACACATCCTCGTATTCTCAGGCACATGTCTGCATAAGTTAATTCTGTCTTAAGTTTAAATTAATTTTGGGGAGTGGTTATTCAAATTCTTTTCTTTTTTTTTTTTTGAGACAGGGTCTCGCTATGTAGACCAGACTGGCCTCCAACTCAGAGATCCATCTGTCTCTGCTGGATTTAAAAGTGTATGGTATCACACCTGTCTTCATGTTCATTTGAAAAGGCCCTTTACTACTCTTTTTTTTCTTTTTTAGTAGGTTTGGTTTTTCTAGTGCAGGTTGACTTTGAGCTATCACTCCTCCTGCCTGTCTGCCTGTGGTTGCCACGCCCAGCTTAGGATGTTTGTGTAGTGTTTACCTTCATCACTTCGGGCTTCAGGACTGTTACTGTCATCAGCTTGTGTGTAGCACAGCTTTTGGAAACTGAATAGGATTTCTTTGATCTTACTGCCTAATGGCACTCATGAGCTGTGGTTGGCATTTAAAACAAACTTGCTCAGTAAGTTGTTGTCCTAAGAAAAGGTGCGATCTAATGTTCCTTTTGTTCTATTTTTCAGGAAGCTGAAGAAATGCACATAAAAGCAATTCAGATTAAAGAGCAGCTTCTTGGTCAAGAAGATTATGAAGTCGCCCTTTCAGTGGGACATCTGGCATCTTTATATAATTACGACATGAATCAATATGAAAATGCTGAGAAATTATATTTGCGATCTATAGCAATTGGTATGTTACCTTTAAATTTTTCTTGGTGTCTAGAGAACAGTTCCACATTCTTCTACACTGCATGAGTAAATGTTAATACTGACAAAAAGTCGCGTAAACTGACTGCAGAGCCATTTAGAATACCCCTGTCAAGGCTCTTCCTCAATATCGAAGTCACTAATGAGACATGTGACTAGATAAAGTCATGACTTGGAGGTGTTAGTCCAGCTGCTGCCCCTGCTCCTCTTGCCATCTGGAGGTCTCACATCTTTAACATAATCAGGTTTACCTGGTTTTGACCTCGACATTAAGTGGAAAGTATCCTTCATAGTGGGTTAGTTGTAATGTGTTGCTGCATAGTAATCCCTTGGTAATTTCTATAACTGTTATATTTATTGGATTCATGTGTCATTATATGTCTAGTCTACATTTAATGAACACCTAGCATTTGAATTGTTTCCGTTTGAATATATTGCCTCATTGTATGAAATTGCTCTTATGGTTCTTGCCCATTTTCATATTGAATTGTCTGGCAGTGTTGACTTAGGAAATTCTTCATGTACTATAACTATGACCCATGTTGGTCAGCTGTGATGCAGGGGTCTCCTCTCATCCTGTGCTTGTTTTCCTGAGAGCACCTTGGAAAGGACAGTTTATTTCACTTCATTTTATTTCTGTTTGTTGATACAGGGACTCATGTAGCTCAGGCTGGTATTGAACTGACAGTTTTGTTTCTTCCTACTGCTGGGATCACAGGCATGTGCTAGCACACCCAGCTGAAGAGCTCCTTGGTGTGTGTTTTTTTTTTTATTGTTAGTAGTTTTTGTATTTAGTTTGAAGGAGTTTTTCCTACCAGTTATGAAAACACTCTTCTAAGAAGATCGCCTCTGGATACTTTACTTAACCATTCACTTTTAGATCTGGAGTCCTAACATTAATTTGTTTATGGTACAAGAAAGGAATCAGATTTCACTCTTTCCATGTTTACATATAGTTGACCCGGTACCATTTCTTCAGCAGATTATCCTTTCCCCATTACTGTCTCTGTCTGTCACAAATGATGATCCGTATATGTGTGTGTTAGTCCTGTGTATTGACTTCCTTGATCTTCCCTGAGTGTGTGAAATACTAATGTTGTGAAAAGCCACAGATTCCTAGGCAAGTCTTTCCCATGGTGTGTAGTTTCCTTCATTTTTTTTCTACATGATTACCACACACCTGCTTTGGGTGGAAATCTCATTTGTTTCCGACTTACTTTTATATGTATTGTTTTACACAAAGGCAAATGAATAAATATTTTCTTATATTCCCTTTCTTATACAAAGTAAGCATATTATAGATATTCTATATACTTTGTGTTCTAGTTTGCTTTTTCTGTTGCTATGACACCAGCACCATGACCAAAGGAGCTTGGAGAGGAAATGGTTTGTTTCATCTTACACTTCCAGATCATAACTCATCATTGGAGCAAGTCGGGGCAGTAACTCAAGGCAGGAACCATGGAGAAAGCTGCTTGCTGACTGTCTCACTGACTCATGCTTCCATAGGCCAGGATATTACCTGCCTGAGGATGGTGCTGCCCATAGTAGCCAGGGCCTTCCATACATCATCATTCATGACATCTTTCACACAGTGACCACAGGCTAATCCAATCTGAGCAATTCCTCAACTGAAGCTGCTTCTTTCCAGGTGACTCTAGGTTGTATCAACTTGACAAAACTAAAGCAAAAAGCTAGCACATTTTATTTAAAAACAGAGCTAGGCATACATTTGAATTAATTACGAGCATTTTTTTAAACCTGTGAAATTTCTTTTAGCATTCTAGTGAAGGTAGCTCCTTCGAGATACTGCCTAGAGAAGAATGATTTAAGAGGCAGTGATGGAAGGACTGTTTTTTCCTTCTGTGGGACTAAAACCAAGCCAGTTCATTTAAAGAACTAAACTTGTATTGAAACACAAACAAAAAATACTGTACATTCTTTGATCTGTTTCTTTCTTCTATTTAGGGAAGAAACTGTTTGGTGAAGGCTACAGTGGACTAGAATATGATTACCGAGGCCTCATTAAACTTTACAACTCCATTGGAAATTAAGAGAAAGTATTTGAGTATCACAATGTTCTGTCTAACTGGAATCGGTTACGAGATCGACAGTATTCAGTGACCGATGCCCTTGAAGACGTCAACAGCAGCCCCCAGTCCACCGAAGAAGTGGTGCAGTCCTTCCTAATGTCTCAGAATGTTGAGGGACCAAGCTGCTGAGGGACAGCCTCAGCTAACAATTACCTTTTCCCAGATTCCGGGGAATTCATACTGTGAAATCAAAACCATGTTGTTTTGGGGCTGGTATTTGCATTGAAACACTGGTCCAGTCCATTGAAGACCCTATTTAGGGTAGTCCTGTATTGCAGTTCCTGTAGAATAAGCATATATTGAGTTATATCAGCATGTGCCGCGTGTATAAGTAGTCCCACATTCTCACCCCATTAGAACAACAGGAAACCTTTTTCCCCTTTTTAAAAAATAATTCGTTTTTCAAAAAGCCTGAGAGAAAAAAGAACCCCTAAATAAAACTATTTAAGAGTTTAAAAGAGTTGCATTCTTATTATGTAAGGATGGTTTTAACAACTTTTTAACATAATTCTTCCATGTGGAGGTATTCGATACTGTATTGTAAAGAAATTTTATGGAAGACTCTTTATATGAAGTATAGAAAAGTAACACAGGTACTCATAAAGGGAGCATCCTGATGGAGGTTTGGCCATCTCCCCAGATCAGTGCGTACAGCCATTCCAGAACTGTTTGAAGGAAGACGTCAGATTCACCTGACTGGACCAGGGCTGCTCTGTCAGTCAACACCAGGTGGACCAGCAGCTCAGCTCTTACTCTTGTTTCTGGTACAGCGGTGGGCTGCTCTAACAGTGTTTGCTAACAGGACCAGGAGGCTCTGAGAGGACCAGGCACCTGTGGAAGGTGGTTGTTTGGACCAGGGGCTTTAGATTATTATTTTAGTCACTGCACTTGCCTTTTCCAATAGAATAATTTCATTTAGATAGAATGCAAAGTATTAATGCAAGAGTTTTGTTTGTATCATAGATACCAAACTGGGATTTAGGCAATGTCAGCGGCAAATTTTTAGTCAAGGTACATAGATGGCAGTGTCATCAGCAAGTCTCTAACTGCTGTGACCACCCCAGTTTTAGTCTTGTCCAGTGCTCCATGTTGCATACTGGCTGAGAGTCGTGAGCTAACTCATGCTCAGACGAGAATTCTAGGTTTGCTCTGAGGGGATTAAGACGAATGAATGCACAAGAAAATGCATAAGTCTTAGAAAATCCTTCATTTTTATGGGAAATAATAGTACAGCTAGTCATTTTAACTGAAACCCAGAGTCAAGTGGAAAGATCCTCCAACTACAATGTCTGATTTTCTAATTTGTTAAAGCTAGCCAGGTTGTTTAACGTGGAGCTAATACTCAATTCCTAAGTTGTGATATATAATAAAAAGAAACAAAAAGGTCTCTTGCTTTTACCTCAATTCTTAGCACAGTGGCCCCTCTGGTGCCTCTGTAGTTAAGAGTCTGGGTTTCTCCCCTATTTTCAGGGGGTCCTGACTTGGCCATTAGATACACTACTCCTGGCAATGCTTGGGGTAGTATGTAGGTTGAGTGGATGTGTGTCAAATTCTGTTCTTTTAGCATGCTTGTTGGGTAAGGGGGAAACAACGTTATCTTGTAGAGTCCAGAAACATTAGAGACGTCAGGATTTTCTTAAACCTCTTTTTTTTTTTTAAACTTTCCAGTTTTAACTTTGTTTGAAACTGCTCTTTGCAGTCTTAATAATAAGCCAATGTGTGTAGTCCTTAGGAAGGAACCTACTGAGGGTGTGTCTGAGTAGGTAAGGCAAGCTCACACCCTGAGATAACAGCTTTGGGTTCAGAGATGTGAATTTATTTATTCCTCTAACTAAATTTCTTTATAAATTCTTCAAAAAATAAACGAGCACCCTGTAGTTCATGCAGCTCGTCCCTCCCTGGTAACGCGGCATCTCTAAGTTTCTCAACTCCAGCCGCACGGGCCTGTATGTTCAGTACCTCCAAAGACATTTTCAAGATAGGCTTTGTATGCTTTTATTGGCTATTTAGAGCCCTGAGGTATGTGTGTGGTATAGGAATGTCTTGCTAAATTGTTTTCAATAAATATTTTGAAACTTAAGTTTCCACATGAATTATTTTTATTTAATCTGAATTTTTGGTGTTATGCATATACAGCATTTTGTATAATCAGATAACTTAAAGACTCATACCCCCTAACACAGTTTAAACTTAGCTCATACTTGGTGATATAGTAACATGCTAGTTAGAAGCCTGTAGTCACAGGGCTATAATGTCAGATGACAACCAGCCGCCACCTCCAGCATCGTTCTTGTCAAGTTTCTCCATCTTACCATTCCTTTAATATAGTTATCTGTAAGTTCAGAAAAATCTAATGCTACATTCTAGCAATCTGTTTTGTTTTTTGAGTTTTTTTATTTGGTTTGGTTTTTTTTTTTTTTCCAAGACAGGGTTTTGTGTGTGTGTGTGTGTGTAGCCCTGGCTGTCCTGGAACTCACTCTGTAGACCAGACTGGCCTCAAACTCATAGATCTGCCTGCCTCCCAAGTGCTGGGATTAAAGGCGTGGCTGCCGCCACCTGGCACAATCTGCCATCTTAAGTGGTGTGATTTGATATGTTCTTATTCTGCTGAAAAAGTAATGCCCTAATAATGTCAAGCGGAGGACTTAGCCTTCTATCAAGAATGTTTAGAATAAGGGAGAGGAAAGCCACCATGATTTGACTTTTAAAATAAAGTGGGATGTGATAGCGCGTCTATACACTCAGTACTCAGTACACTGAGTGAGGCAGAGAGATTCTGCCTCAAACAAAAATCTCAAAGGAAAAACTTAATATTTACCTCACAGTAATCAATGACTTGCATGTAATTTTCAATAAGGGCCTATACTCTCACCCGCCCCTGAATCTTATTACTCCTAAAGCTTGGTGCTACTCCATTGGCGGCGTTGGGGGCTCATGCATATGACACAGGTGGGTCACTTACATTCAGTTTACTAGCGCCAGCTGGGTTTTTAGTTCATAATATTTATGGGTCCTCAGACTAGACATTGCCCTGAGGATTTGGACCCTTTCTCCATCAAGTCTGCATTCTTTTTCAAAAAGCAACTCACCAATCCCCTGCCCAGGTATTCCTGCATTGTCAGAATAAACGATTTAAATAAAGACCTTGTACTATACCGTGAAAAGACTTCATAGTCTTGTGAACATTAAGTACACGAGGCTGTAAGTGGTGGCACAAGCTTTCATCCCAGCTGCTCGGGAGGCTGAGATGAGCCAGGACAACCTAGTGAGGCCCTATCTCAAGAAACAAACGCAAGAGCAGCAGCTGCAAGCTTGATGTCTTGACCCTACAGTTGAACGTAGCTTTATGGTGCAGACAGCTGACCTAAGGATGATGCAAGCTTTGGCCAAAACTGCAAATCCTAAGGCTGCTTTGCTAAGTAACAGGTGTTAACTGCCACTTTTTAAAATAAGTTTCCCCCTAGGGTTTTTAGCCTTGCTGCTTCCAATCTTTTTCTGGATGGCAGAGTTACTACTGGAAAAATTATTTATAATTAATGTTTTTTTTAAGAGTTTTATTTTTGTTTTAAAGATTAACACTTCTTTCACCTCTTGGCTTTAGAGGACTTCAGATTACCTGGACAGAAAGATTTATTTTGAGTAGAAATTTGAATTAGTCTACAGATTTTAACGTTAGTCGTTCCTTTGTCCCCAGATCTCAGGAATGTCTTAGGCAGAGTAGGCTTCTCCCTGGTGGTGACTGAAGGCGTGTGTTTCAGGATCTCTTCTGTAGCACTGTTGTTAACTGCGGTGCTAGGTATCTATAGTATGAGTGGCCTTAACGTTTGCTGGAGTGCACAGAGTACAGTTTGAGATTAGATATACATGCTGTGTATAGGTATCTAGAAAACTCAGTTGTGGTGCACAAAGTGTTGGATCACTGAATCGCAGGTACCATTTGTATAACAGCACTCATTTCTGTATATTCCTTTTATGGGAAAATATGTTGCCATGGTGACTAAAAACCTTTCTATTTAGTTTTACTTTTATTATGTGAATGAATGCTACATTTTATTAAATATTACCAGGTCAGTACTATTTTTATACCTTATTAAGCAACAGGGGTTTTAGTTTAATAGGCGCAAAGAAAATCACTAACATTCTTTACAGGAAAATCCCCACTACTCGTGCCACAGGGATTTCTCTAGCTATCTAAGGTCATTAATAGATGGAGAAGACAGTTCATTGAGTCAGAAAAACCTTTCATAGCATTCTCACCTACTTGTAGCACCCACTGTTATTTGTAACTATGAAACCACACTAAGTATGTTTGTAACCAGCATTGTGATATATTCTGTACTTGTATTGCTAAATGAATTATTGACCTAATAAATAGTGTCCCTGCATTCATGGTGTATGTTTCCAATTGAGTTGTGATTGCCTTGGGTTGGAATTCGGGGCTTTCTAATTGTGTAGACTGTTCTCACTGGAGAGCCGAGTGGAGGAGCTCGGCCCTAGGACAGAAGTGCTCTTGTTGAAGAAAAGCTGTGCTGCGGAGGCTCATGGAGACCACACTGGGAGCCATGCTCCTGGAGCCCCTAGGAATGACGGTGCAAAGGAGGGCAGCTGTCGCTGTCGGTAGCTTGGCTGTAATGGCTGTGGGTGCATGAGACCTAGTGGAGTTTGGTGAAAGAGAGTTCTCTAGTCCCCCGTTGTGTGTGATTCAGTTCCAACTGCCCTTCTAAGAATTTGAGCGTATCATTCTAATTCCTTTTCCCCACGTGAAGGAGATTGCTCCTCTAAAAAGGACTCTACCATGAGACAGCCAAAAGGACTTGAGGAAACGAGGCTCCTCATGTTAAATGTTTTGAAGTGTGTGTGTGAGTGTGTGCCGCCTGTGTGCAGGTGTCTGCGGGGGCCAGAGTGGGTGTCAGGTACCCTGGCGCTGGGCCATACAGATGATAGGATGCTGGGAGTCAAACCCAGGTCCTCTGGAAGAGCAGCTGCTTCACTACTTAGACATCTCGCCAGCCACAGGCCTCATTTTGAATAGCATAAAGCCAAGTACCTTGAACAAAAGCCTGTTTTCTCTGCTTGCTTCCTCCACATGAGCTATGAGAACACTATAACAAGGGTGGACCTGATAGGTATGTGCAACCACACTCCGCTGTTGGGCTTCTTAGCATATCAGGTCCAACAGCGGAGTGCATTTGCACATACCCGTATCCCCAGCACTTGAGATTCAAAGGCATGAGGATCAGTTCATATCAAGTTTGCAGCCAGCCTAGGCTACATGAGACCTTGTCTCAATACAAGCAAAGCCAAATACAATTCCTATATGATTTTAGTGTAATATTCACAATGAAAGAATTTGTCAGAATTTTGGGGGAAGGGGAAATGGGAAATGGTTCCTTAGTGGGTGTGGTTTCTGTTTTACACAATAAGGAAGCGCTGGAGATTGGTCACACAGAAAGTGAGAACATAACTACAATTAAAAAGGTTAGGATGGGGCTGGAGAGATGGCTCAGTGGTTAAGAGCATTGCCTGCTCTTCCAAAGGTCCTGAGTTCAATTCCCAGCAACCACATGGTGGCTCACAACCATCTGTAATGAGGTCTGGTGCCCTCTTCTGGCCTGCAGTCATACACACAGACAGAATATTGTATACATAATAAATAAATAAATAAATAAATAAATAAATTTAAAAAAAGGTTAGGATGCAGCACATGAAAGGCTGGGGATAATAAGATGGTAACTTTTATGTACAGTTAGAATTATTTAGGAAATGTTGTCAACCTGTGCAGGCAGGACTGGCAGAGATGTCTCAGTGGGTCTAGACACTTGCCACCAAGCCTGATGACCATAGTACAATCCCCAGTACTCAGTGAACATTTCTCTTAGAAATGCCTGGCAGTTAAGTCAGCCATGATCCATATGGAAGAAAAACAATGAGGGCCAGGGCCAGGGACACACTCTACTCCCAGTCCATGAGAGGCAGAGGCAGGGAGGGGCGTCTACGGCACTTCAGTCTACACAGTGAGCATCAGTTCAGGCCAGAGCCACATACACATGAAATAAATGTAAAACAACCACACTAACAAGAAACAGTTCCTTTCCCAATCTGTGCCTGTGATGTACAATTTTATCGTTATGGTTTCTGCTCTTTTTCATTTAGATTTCAGCCTGAAATAACAGAGCTAACCCACAAAACAACAAAGTTTAGGAAATAGACCCAAGTAAACCAGGAATTTGATATAGAAAAGCTATATCTAGACCGGGTGGTGGTGGCACATGCCTTTAATCCCAGCACTCGGGAGGCAGAGGCAGGTGGATCTCTGTGAGTTCGAGGCCAGCCTGGTCTACAAGAGCTAGTTCCAGGACAGGCTCCAAAACCACAGAGAAACCCTGTTTTTAAAAAAAAAAAAGCCAATAAATAAATAAATAAAAAGGCTTTCCCCTAAATGCTACAGGCTATAAATATACTCTCACACCCACGAACAAGTGTTCATTCAGCCAATTGGAAAGCACACACACTGCATTCCTACTGCCTGACATCAAACAAAATAAGCTTAGGTAGCCTAGTGGTTTAAAGCAGACACTGGAAGTGGAATGCTGGGAGAAAACGTGGTAGAATTTTAAATACTCTCAGTGCAGAAGTCCTTTCAAAGTCATTAAAACCCATGAAAAAAGCCTTACGATTTAGTTACATAAAAATTAAAAGATGTCTACATCCACTAGAAGAGGCCTTGACAGTGGGATCCTGGCTCCGCTGTGCCAACTCCTGCTTCCCTGTCTACCATAGGGAAGTCTGGCTCACAAGTTTGACACGCAAATCTAATGGGAAGGATAAAGCGCTCACTCATCTCCTGAACCACAGACATGCACAAAGGTGTTGCTGGAGAGACGGTGGAGGACCCCTGGGTTTTGTTTGGTTTTGTTCCCCCACCCCCACCCCAGGATTAGCTTTACCGTAAGAGCACAGATCCGGGTATGATGTAACAGCGAGTTCCCCTCGGCACAGCGGCCCCAGCAGTTCTCTGATGCCTCCACCCCATCACTGCCGCATCAGACTTTGGGTGGAGACACCTTAGCTGACCACAAACAGCTAACCTTAGAGGTAATAAACTCATTAGAGGGCTGAGGAAGGTGCTCGGAGGTCACGAGCATGTGTTGCAATTGCAGAGGTCCTGCCTTCAGTTCCCAGCACCCACGAAGCAGCTCACACCGCCACCTAATTCTAGTTCCAGGGCATTTGGCGCCATCTCCTGGCCTCAGAGGGCACCAGGTACACATGCAGTGGGCGTACTTTCACACAGGTAAACACGTAAATATTTTAAAAACATACATCAGTCTGCCAGTTATGTACATGCTATGAAAAATGAAGGTGCCCAAGAGCAGGAGGCACAGGGTCGCTGTGTGCTGCAGCGAGCAGCCCGTGCTCATCAGTACCGAGTCCTAGTTCCTACACAGACTTCAGGTACAAGAGACATCAATCACCTTTTTGGGGGGTTTTCTTTTCTCCTCTAGACAGTGGTTGAAAAGATGCTGTTCGGATATGTTCTTTAATTTGTTAATTCAATAGAATTTTAAGTGACTACTATTGTAATTGCTTAAGATATACCAATAAACGAGAATTGTCTTCTGGCTTTTGCATGTGATGGGCCACACACTTATGTTCGTGCTAAAAATATAAATAATTTTTAAAATCCTCTTTGTAAATTCATTATCGCGTGTAATTTGGCAGTGACCAGAAAACTGAAATGGAGACGCGCTTGGCAAGTTTGAGGAAAGCAAGGGTTAGGGCAGAGACGTAGCTAAACAATTGCAGGAGTGGGATCATAGATCTAGCAGAACCTGACAACGACTTGGACTTTATTTTTATTATTTGTTTATTTTGAGACAGGTTGAATCATGCTACAAAAGCTGTCCTGAAACTCTGGATCCTCCTGCCTCACCTCCCGCCTCATCTCCCCGTCGCTGAGATTATAGTGTGCACCTGCAGGTCCAGCTGACGCTGACTTCGGATGAAATGAGGAACGTTGGAGTTTTGAGCAGAGAAACCTGTGATCTGCTGTTTTAGAATTCTAAGGGCTTACTGGGTTTGAGGAAAAAGTTAGAGAAGGCCAAACCCAGCCCGCCCTTGTTGTCCTTAGGGAGAGCTCCCCACCTGCTCCTCCCCGGGCCTCTGAGCTCACCGCAGTCTGGTTGGAAGGCAGAGGTTCTGCCCACAGTTCCTGTAGGTGGCGGTGCTGCCCCACGGACAGTGACCAGCGCTCTATTTTGCCAAGAGCCGCTCAGCACCGTGCACCTTTGCACTTGCCGGCCCCTCTCCCCGAAATACTCCTGTTCTGTCACAATTGTCATGGATCAGCCAGCCAGGGGACCCCGGAGTCCCTTCTTGAGCACCCCGGGAAGCACTGGGTCAAGGGCAGAGAGGGAGCTGCGCTCGTACCACGTGTCCCCCCTTCTGCTCCCCTCTCTGGACTTCATCTAGACAGATGCTCATTTCACAGTTAGTTCTGTGCTGAAATTTTCTTCTGGATACAAACTGAGAGAGAAGAGAGACAAAGGGTTCAGACATTTACCGTGGCCCTAAGCTACCTGGTTTCCTTATGCTGCTGCCTTTGGTAGGGTCCTTGTTAACTTGTCGCTTATCGCTTTGGTGGCACACGCCTTTAATCCCAGCAGAGGCAGGTGGGTCCGAATTCGAGGACAGCCTGGTCTACAGAGCAATTTCCAGGACAGCCAGGGCTACACAGAGAGATGCTGTCTCATAAAACAAACTCACTGGACCTTGGGGGCTGGAGAGAAGGCTATCAGCTTAGGTGTGCTTCTTGCCCTTCCGGAGGAAGATGTGGGTGTTCCCAGCACTCACACGAGTTGGCTCAGAACCATTTACATCGCTCCAGCTCCAGAGGCTCCCACAGGCTCCATACAGTCACACAGACACAAATGCGTTTGAAAAGAACGTCGCTGAGCCTACTTCCTTCTGTGGAATCACCATCTAGCTGGTTTCTGGAGCTCGAGACAGCCTGCCCTTTCCACCTCTCTGGCTTCCTCCTTTCCTTTCCTGCCTCTCACAGGCATCACCCAAGCCCACTGACTGACTGCCGAGGGTGTGGTTCAGAGGGATATGGTTGGCTCGAGTGGATAAGATCCTTTCTGATCTTCAACCTGGGCTCTGTCCTGGGTCTATATGGCGGAAGAAGAGACTCCCAACAACCTCTAACCTCCACAAGCAAGCTGTGGCACTAGCATGCACACACACACACACACACACACACACACCATACACACACACCACACACACACACCTACACCATATGCACCAACCAGTCAGTCAATAACAAAGTTGTTGGGTTTTTTGGTTTGTTTGGTTTTTAGTTTTTGTTTTTTGGCTTTTTTGT